ACCAGCTGTAGCTAGGGGGAACAGTTTAACTAAAATTATTAAATAGATTAAGCCCACATTTCTCAACTTGTGGGTCCCAACCTCCCCCCAGGAGGTTGCGAGCAACTTAGAGGGGGGTCGCAGCTGGATTCGGTTTTTCTCTTGCAAAAATTTGTGTCTCCAGCATCTTAGCTGGCAATTCATTGACACTGATCACGTGATTGCTGATAGTCGGGCTTGGCTTCTCTCGCAAATGTTTGCATGTCTCTGATGTCTCCACTGACGATCTAAATGCCAATCCCGTGATCTCAGATGGTTGGGTTCAGCTTCTTTCGCAAATATTCCTGTGTCTCTGGTGTCTCTGTCGACGTGGCATACTTTTTACTAGTACAACATCTTTAGTAGTCCTTGGAGTGTATGTGAAGTTCCGTTCTTTTATAAATTATTATAAATTAAATCACATTTCTTCTTTAAACTTTCACTTTAAGAACTATTTCTCAGATATGGATATTGAAAAGTTTGATTGGATAAGGAACTGATTTGATGCTAAACTAATAGCTGGTACACTCACTGCTACCGAGGAAGAGCAAATCATTGATATCTCTTCTGACACCGCTTTAAAAATAAAATTCTCAACAATGTCTCTCTCTGAATTTTGGATCAGTGTGCAAAATTAGTACAAAGAATTAAATGAGAAGGCTATGAACATATTGATCCTGTTTGCAACATCTTGTTTGTGCGAGTCAGGGTTTTCTGCAGTTGCTGCTATAAAAAGCAAATATTGATCAAAAGTAAACGTGGAACGAGAAATGAGTGGCTATCTCGACAATGAAACCCAGATTTAAAAAATTATGGAACAATAAACAAGCTCATCCTTCACATTAAACAATAGGATTCCAAATTTGATGTTTTGTGTCTATTTCCAATAAAAATTTAGTTATCAAGTTATTGGAATATTTAGTTCTTGTCCAATCCTAATCCCAATAAAATGATTAGTTTTACTAGTGGATTAGTGAGGGTGGGGTCACACTAATTCATTTAGCATTTTAGGGGATTGTGTATCACAAAATTTTAGAACCCCTGGATTAAGCAGTTTAATTTTCTTATGTTAGTTTATCAATCTTTATTTTAAATAAAATAAAATATGTCCAACACAAAAGGTTGAGTCAAGGGTTACTGACCTACAGAAAAATCAGTTTGGGACCACACAAGTGAGAAGCAAAAAAACTCCTCCAAAACCACCCAACCATCACTGATGTGGCCCCCCAGCTGAGACACCTCACTCCTCTGGTGCTCCAGCCTTATGGAGGAAGGGACAGGGAGGACTGAGGTTCAGGCTAGACCACCTCACTTGGGCCTTGTGAAGGTTAGTGTTCGCAAAAGGTTAAACTTTATCCAGACTGTTATTCACCTGAAAAGAATCATTACTATAGGGTGCTACAAGCAGTCCTCCTCCAATACACAGACTGACAATCCATTTCCACAGGGGAAAGGAATGAAGTACAGTCTTGGAAAAGCAATAATAAACCATCTATATCTCCACTGGTATAAGCAACGACATGAGAGCCCCATTACTTCAACGAGCAGAGCTATGCCAAGATTTAACACCTACTGCTACCCTCTGTCACTGGCATCACAAAGTTTTCCTTTCCCATATAGCCTCTCTTCTCCTACAATCCTCCCTCTCCCCTGCCATCAGCTTCCCTGCTATGGGGACCCTCCCTCTCCTCCCAACTCCCCTCTTGTTCATCCCTTTGCCTGCAGTTCTCGTCTTCCCCTACATTAGATCCTCCCTCACCAGCCCCCC